TTTTTTTTTTTTGAGATGGTCTCGCTCTGTCCGCCCAGGCTGGAGTGCAGTGGCATGATCTCAACTCATTGCAACCTCCACCTTCTGGGTTCAAGCGATTCTCGTGCCTCTCTCAGCCTTCCAACATAGCTGGGATTACAGGCATGCGCCACCACACCCAATTAATTTTTGTAATTTTAGTAGAGACAGGGTTTCACCATGTTGGCCAGGCTGGTCTTGAACTCCTAGCCTCAAACGATCCACCTGCCTTGGCCTCCCAAAGTTCTGGGATCACAGGCGTGAGATACCGTGCCCAGCCAAGTGTCCTTAATTTTTAAAGATACACACTGAAATATCTGTGGATAAAATGGTACGTCTTTGCTTTGTAATAAACCCAGCATTGCGGTGTAAAGGAGTGGGTGGGGGCAAAGGGGAACAAAATTGGCCATGCAATGATAATTACCAAAGTGGATATGGGGTAGATGGGGGTTTATTATTCTGATGGTTAATTTTATGTGTCAGCTTGACTGGGCTAAGGAAGGCCAGAAAGATAATAAAACGTTATTTCTGGGTATGTCTGTGAGGGTGTTTCTGGATGAGATTAGCATCTGAATCAACAGTCTGAGTAAAGAAGACCACCCTCACCAATGCAGGTGGCATCATGCAATCCATTGAGGGTACCAAGAGAACAAAAAGGCCAAGGAAGAGTGAATTTTCTTTTTTTGAACTGGGAAATTCATCATCTCCTTGGACATCAGAGTTCCTGGGTCTTGGACCTTCAGGCTTCAGGACTTACCCCAACAGCATCCCTGGTTCTCAGGCCTTTGGACTCAGACCAAATCACACCACAAGCATTCCTGGTTCTCCAGCTTGCATGGGACTTGCCAGTCTCTAGAATCACGTGGGGCAATTCTCATAATCCATCTCTTCCTCTAGATCTCTATACATTCTATTGGTTTGTTTCTTTAGAGAACCCTGCCTAAGACAATTATGCTATTCCCTACTTTTAAATATATTTGTGATTTTACATAAAAACAAAAACAAAAAAGGTACCCATCCTGACCCAATGATTCCACTTCTAGAATCTGTAATATGTACATCTTTTTTTTCAATAATTTTTTGAACAAAGATGTTTGTTATGGCATTGCTTGTAATAGTAAGGAACTGGAGATGACTCAGACATCCATTAACGGAAGAACAGCAAAATATATTTTGCAACAACCAGACTACAGAATAAAGTAATCATTATAAAGGGGCAGATTCATGTGTAATTACCCAGAGGAACATCCGTAACAGTAACATTTCATGGAAAAAACCTGAACGAAATGAAAAGCATGACCCAATTCTTTGAAATAAACACTATTCACATGTTTATGTACATAGACAAAAGTCTGTAAGGATACATATTAAAATGTTCAGAAAATCATTGCTGAGGTTTATACAAAACTGGGTATGTTTTATTAATAACCATTCTAATAAATGAATACATTATTCTTTTTAATTTCTTGGTAATAGGTTTTTTGTTTGTTTGTTTGTTTTTTGAGATGGAGTCTCGCTCTGTCACCCAGCCTGGAGTGTGGTGGCACAATCTCAGCTCACTGCAACCTCCGCCTCTCAGGTTCAAGCGATTCCCCCACCTCAGCCTCCGGAGTAGCTGGGATTACAGATGTATACCACCACACCCAGCTAATTTTTGAATTTTTTTTTTTTTTTTAAGGAGAATTGGGGTTTAACTATGTTGGCCAGGATAGTCTCGAACTCATGATCTCAGGTGATCCGCCCGCCTTGGCCTCCCAAAGTGCTGGGATTACAGGTGTGAGCCACTGCGCCCGGCCACAATAGGCTCTTTTATGTTTTCTTTCCTGAGGACATGCACCTCAAAAACTACCGCATCATCCCAGATGTCAAATTAGTACCTAAAACAGCCAGACTTTCTCAACTGGGGTTCCATGACAGAATTAATCCCCGGAAAAAATTATTTGATTATTTGAGTAACTATTTTTTCAGGGCTCCCAAGGATGGTACGTAGCCAGCCTCATTCTGGATGCAGAAGAGAAATTCAATCATTTCATACAATAGATGCCAGCGGGCATTAGGACTTAATTGTCTTGTGGAACCCAACCTGGGTGGAAAAGGGCTAATCTAGACACTTGGCCACCTTCTGGAAACCTGCAATAATTAAGCCTGTATTTTGACTCGGACTTTTTCCATTTTCTACCTTGATCCTGTTCTAACATATTTTATCTTTCCTCTTTTTGTCATATAGAATCTAACTGAACTAACCTGCAAACCGGATCTCTTGTTGCACAGCCATTGTATAAAATTCTTTAATTTTTAAGAACCAACACAAACCAACTCAAATTTACTAGAGCATTTAAATAATTTCTAACGTCTGTGGCAAGAATATGAAAGATTGAAACTTTAATGAGGCACAACATTTCCACATCTGTAATTAGCCAACTTTTGAGGTGTGAAATATTCATGATTCTGAAAAGAATGTACTAAACTCAATAAACTCACTTAAATGTTTTTTTTTTTTTTTTTTGAGACAGGGCTTTGTCGCCCAGGCTGGAGTACAGTGGTACAATCTCAGTTCACTACAGCCTCAACCTCCCAGGTTCAAGCGATCCACCCACCTCAGCCTCCCAAGTAGCTGTGACTACAGGCACGTACTACTACACCTGGCTAATTTGTGTACTTTTTGTAGAGACAGGGTTTCACCATGTTGCCCAAGCTAATGCTTAATTATTGATATGAGCTCAGGTTTGTTTGGATTTTAGCTTTTTGGACCAGTTACATCAAGATTTCCCTTGAATTTTCTCATTAACTTGAAATTTACCCTTGTTACTCGAAACAAAAGGTCTTTTGAGTAAAAACAAAACAAAAATCAAACATTTGAAAAAATTAAAAGCAAAGAGATTTTCAGCTTAAAAGCCACTTTAAGACAGGTGTTAAATAACTAATCCTTTTAGTGGTTAATAATCAGCTTTTGGATCTGCTTATCATTTTCAGATCCCAAGGTATCCAAGAACAAGCCTACAGATAAAAACTCCTATGTTGAATCAGTCAGCAACATCTGTTTCTGGCAATTAAGGCCATTTTACAATTAAGAGAAGGAAACTTTGACAGTGGGTCTGAATCTTGGCTGCATATTAGAATCACCTGGGAGGCTGGGCATGGTGGCTCACGCCTGTAATCCCAGCACTTTGGGAGGCCAAGGCGGGCAGATCACCTGAGGTCAGGAGTTCGAGACCAGCCTGGCCAACGTGGTGAAACCCTGTCTCCACTAAAAATACAAAAATTGGCTAGGCATGGTGGCAGGCGCCTGTAGTCCCAGCTACTGAGGAGGTTGAGACAGGAGAATCACTTGAACCCCTGAGGCAGAGGTTGCAGTGAGCCGAGATCGCACCATTGTACTCCAGTCTGGGCAACAAGAGGGAAACGTCATCTCAAAAAAAAATAAAAATAATTAAAAAAAAAAAAAAAAGTATCACAGGGGAGCTTAAATCTGAAGACCCAGACATCAGTGCTTCTCATGCTTGACTTTCTGAGTCAGTAGGTTGGCATCATTGCTAAATCCACCACTCCCTTCTCACTTCTTGTCCTATCTCACATACATATGCATTTGGCAACCGTGTACTCCTTCCTCCTTGGACTACTTTTATCATTTGATTTGCAGGACACCACACTCGCCTACTTTATTTTCTCCTACTTTAGTCCATCTCTCTGATCTTTTCACACTGGAGTGTACCTTGGCAGTACCCTTGGACATTTCATCTTTCTTGGTTACTACCCTAGATCCCTTGATCATCCATTGCTGTGACTTTTCAAACCATCCATATTCTGATGACTTCCAAATTTCTACATCCAGCCCAGGCCTCTCCCCTAAAATCCAGACTCACATATC